AGCATCCATATTCCAGCTTTCTTATTTGTATACTAGAGGTCCAGTGCACAAAATTCATGCACTCGGAGTGGGGGAGGGGATCCCTCAGCCTGGCCTGCGCCCTCTCGCAGTCTGGGAGCCCTCGGGAGATGTCTGATTGACAGCTTAGGCCTGCTCCCGAGCGGGCCTAAGCCATCAGTTGGATATCCTTAGTGCTGCTGTGGAGGCGGGAGAGGCTCCCACCACCACCGCTGCTCTCATCAGCCATGAGCCCGGCTTCTGGCTGAGTGGTGCTCCCCTGTGGGAGTACACTGACCACCAGGGGGCAGCTCCTGCATTGAGCGTCTGCCCCCTAGTGGTCAGTGCATGTCATAGTGACTGGTTCCACTGTTCAGTTGATTTGCATATTAGCCTTTTATTATATAGGAAGCTGTTTGTATCAAGACCTAGTCTCTTTATGAGTTTCCACAATATGTCATTGGTTTTATTTAATTATTTAATCTTCATCCTAGGATACGCTTTAGAAAGAGGAAGGGAGGGAGGGAAGGAGTGAAGAGAGGGACAGCTAGAGATAGAGATAGAGAGGTAGAGAGGTAGAGAGAGAGAGAGAGAGAGAGAGAGAGAGAGAGAGAGAGAAACATCGACTAGTTGCCTCTTGTATGCTCCCTGACCAGGGATGGAACCCACAAACTAGGTATATGCTCTGGCTGTGAATCGAACCTGTAACCTTTGGTGCATGGGGTGATACTCCAACCAACTGGACAGCTGGTTAGGGCTGTCACTGGTTTTAAGCAGTTTGTGACTAATATGTTTATGGCAGCTGAGCAGCAAAATCATGAGAAATCACACAGCACGGTGCACGAGCTTCTGACATCTTCATCCATTCCTCTCTCCACCTTCCTCATATCATCCTCACTTTCTCTGCTGAGTGAAAGCTAATTCTACTAATCCCAGGATTAAAGGCCTACTCATTATCAGCTGTGAAAGGTTCAACTTGCCTAAAAGGTAAATTATCTCAATAGTCAGAATCTTCCTTCCCTAAAACAATGAAATTTTATATACCTTGTTATAACAGATCACAATATTAACTGCCTCCATTTAAGCGTTATTGGTCAAATGTTTAAATGTGATTGGTCAAATACACAGTGCTGTGTTTTGTTCAAGGTGGTGTGACTGGGCATGAATATTGTCTTTGAGTGCTAAGTTCACCTGGTCAACATAAAAATATTATCCCTATTTTACAATGTAAAGCCTACGGAGAATTTGCTAGGCCTCTCAGATAATGTCATCATTAATAGTCACAGGTGGGCCCAAATGAAACAGACCATTTCGTTAAGTAGTGAGCTACTTGTCATCAGAGATGTTTAATAATAGTTTCAGTGGGCACAGAGAATGAATTGTACTCATTGGTATATGAGGTCACTTCCAGCCCTGATATTGTTTCTATATAAAATCAATAATTTCAAGAAATACTTTAGGTTACTCACTCCTCCCACAAAATTAGCCAGAGGATTAGTTGAGTTCTCTGTTTCTTTTTGGTTATAAAAACCTTTAAATAGTGCAAAGTAGAACTCAGGCTTTCTGACTAATAATTCTGATGCCCTGCCCCCTAATGCTATTCATCTATATGTACACATTTAAAAGTCAATCATGGTTGACCATATCCATTGAACATATCTATGAATTTTTAGATGTGTAACTAAGGTGAATGTAATCCCTAACTGGACAGTCCGCAGTTAGATAACCTGGTTGCTTCTCACTTTTCTTTGTTAGTTTCGCAACACAGTTGGATGCTGAAAATTTTAGTGGGATGCTGACATAACACTAGTATGTTAAAGGAAATTGCAAGGGGGAAATTAACATTTAACTAGATTTTGATTATTTGAAAGAAGACAGAAACTCCAGCCAGTAATTTGGTTTAGCTGGGAATACAAGAGTAATTGATGGTTGCCAGTACTAGAAAAGATTTTTCAGAGAGAGGAACTGTGAAGGTAGAGGAGGGAAGAGAAAGATCTTTAGACTTCTAATACCTGGCATAGTTGCAAGAAAGACTCTGAGCATGAGAGTGAGCAGTCCTGATGGAGGACTTCCAGCAAATAATGTATATTCAATTCCTGTCCAGATTACACACTTGACTTAGCTTAACTTCAATGCCGTAAGTTAAACACTCATATCCTTTTCTTGTGATGGCAGGAGATGCTGAGTTTTCTGCGGTGCTATGAGTGGTTTCCATACTGTGCTAATAAAACTTGCCTAATTCTTGCTCTACTCCCGTCCTACATCCTGTATCAATGAAAAGCCGAGACCACCTGGACATCGAAAAACAAGAGAATATTTAAGATAGTTTTGCCAACCACAGTAAGACAGTTCATAAGAAATGACTGCAGCCCTAACCGGTTTGGCTCAGTGGATAGAGCGTCGGCCTGCGGACTCAAGGGTCCCAGGTTCGATTTCAGTCAAGGGCATGTACCTTGGTTGTGGGCACATCCCCAGTTAGGGGGTGTGCAGGAGGCAGCTGATCGATGTTTCTCTCTCATCGATGTTTCTAACTCTCTATCCCTCTCCCTTCCTCTCTGTAAAAAACTAATAAAATATGTTTAAAAAAAGAGAAAGAAATGACTGCAGAAATAACGTTGGCAATATTTCCCTATTATTCCCAGTGAAAACCAGGTTCCTTTAAAATCAAGGAATTGAGTGTTTGAATTCAATGCTCACTTGAATATACAAATAAATGTAGTTACTGTTTGAAACACAGTAACTACATTTATTTGTATATTTTTAAAAACCTAGAATAATTGAGCATGTATTGTGTACCAGACATTGTGCTATAGAATCACTTATATGCTATTATCATAAATAAAATACTATTCTCACTAAAATAAGTAGGAGTATTCCTTTGCTTCATAGTAAAAGCCCTTTGTAATCTGGCTTCTCATTTACCATTTGTTTACTGCCCCTCAATTTTTCCTTTGCTCATGCCTTTTCAAAATGTACTCATTCTTCAAGGTCTGGTTTCATTTCTGCTTGTTCCTCTTCAACACAGAATGTCTCCTCCTCCTTTGAGCAGGAAACCCTTGTTATCTGTAATAGTCGGGCACTCATCATATATTGTCCAGTGCCGTCTTGGCTGGTGCTGGTGTATTGATATCTGGCTTTTCCCATGAGCACATCCTACTCCCCAAATAGATTTTGTGTTCTTTCTATAAACAAGCACAATATGTTTGGGTTATGCAATTCATAGTGGAAGTTCAACTAAATGTCTGGCTGTTCTCTTGCATCTGAAAAGTAGACTCAAATATATGTAGAAGGACTAAGAACTGGGTATGCACCTTAAGAATAAGAAGTGCCCTAGCCGGGTTGGCTCAGTGGATAGAGTGTCAGCCTGCGGACTGAAGGGTCCCGGGTTCGATACTGGCCAAGGGCACATGCCTGGGTTGTGGGCTCGATCCCCGGTAGGGGGTGTGCAGGAGGCAGCCAATCAGTAACTTTTATCATTGATGTTTCTATCTCTCCCTCTCCCTTCCTCTCTGAAATCAATAAAAATATATTAAACAACAACAAAAAAGAATGAGAAGTAATGCTCAGCTTTGTTGCCAGGAAAAAAGAGGGTGTATTCTCGTATAATGTTTTATATGCAGGACCCAAAACATGCTTTCTTCTTATGCAGTGTAGGCAGTATCACCCCGCACGCCCAACAAAACCCTTTTTTCACCTTTTTACTCTCCTTATATCTTCTATTCATAGGCCAGTTATTGGCTTCTTATGGAGCTACAAACACATCTGATGAATAAGTTGTAGTTTGGTCTCCCGGGTCAACAACTAGAAGTCTTTTCTGCGCAGGTATAAAGTGGTCTCCTAGGGAAGTGTGCTGTGCTCTGTCTTTCTTGTGAGTAACCCTCCCTGGGTCCTGATCTGAGGTCTTAAAGATGTGGACTCTAAGAGTAATGTCTTGTTTATATTGGGACTCCTTTGGGTTGAAATAACAGAAACCCAATTTAAAAAGGGGAATTTTTGTGTGAGGATACAGGACTGTTTCATGGATGAGAAAGCAGTTGGCTCCCAGGTACCATGTGGAAATGTATCTCTTACCTTTACTTGATTCTACAGGTCTGCTTTATTCTTCTCCCTTGTTGCACATTAGCTTCTGCCTTTCCTACCGACATGATGAAATTTGGGGCTAACAGTTTCTGAGTTTGAAATCCTAGAGTCCAAGTGTACAGAGAAAGATTGCCTTGACCCATGCCCCAATCAATACCTACAGACAAACTTCAATTGCTCTCTCGGACCAAGGGCCCACCCTGTAGCCAATAAAATGTGGTCAGACATGGAATATCTTATTCCATTGTATTTATGGGGCAATCATTTGGATGGAGGGTGGTAGGAAAGGGCTGTTGCCTGGAGAAGATATGCTGGACAGATCAAAGAGTAGAAGTTTGCTACAATGTACATGTGTATAGAGGTGAAGAGTTTACAACCCCTTCCCATATCTGCTATCTCAGTGAGAGCCTCATGATGTTGAGAAACATAGGCAAGACAGGAACTATTGGTGCACAACTTACATCGAAGGTCATAAAAACGCTCTTAGAAATTAAGTGACTTGTGCAAATCCCACAGAAGGGTAGAAAATTATCATTCCACTCTCCAACAAAACCCATCTCTCAAAATGTTCCTGAAATCCCACCACCTTCTCAGAGTCGATGAACAGGTAAGGAATACTATTTTAACTTGTCTTCTCTAGAAAAAAAAATTAGCAATTCCAGGGAAGTGTAATTTCAGAGAAGCAGGGATGAGGGAAAAGGAGAGTGAGGCAGAGAAAGAGAGAGAGGGAATATAAGGGGAGTGAGTTACTGGGGCCACAATTTTGGAATAAGCTGATTGATTTTTATCATATGATTTTTTCAGAGAGGCTGTTTGAAGCCCCTGTGTGTGGCCCAATGGGCAGGGGAGGGAAAGGGATAAACATTTACCCACTGGCTTCCATTGCCCTTGACCAAAGATCAGCCCCCAGGGCATTAACTCACCAACACTTCCTGTTGCACGTGCTTGGAAGACACAGCAGGACCTGCGGGACAGCAGAGAGGTCCTAGGGTAGAAGGCAAGATATTGTCAGGTCATACATGAGAGTGACATGAGGGAGCGGGAGGTAGCCATGGAGAGAGTCTGGCTGGCCCAGAAGGCCAGGCTCTATCATGACATGACCTCCTGCCACAAAGGTGGCAAGAGACCTCAACAAACCTCCTTTCCATGGCTATAAGACTGTAGTTGATGCCAAGGCAATTTCCTGGAGGGTCATCAGTAATACTGAACAGCTGGCTGCATGGTCTAAAGTGGGGGTGGTGACACTTCTCCTATTCCACCTCAGAATTGGCCCATTCCTTCTTTATGCCCACACTATTCTTCACACAAGTATATACGCATTTAACACAATTACTTAGTCAGATTTTTTTCCTCTCCTAGAGAAGATTTCTGTGAGGTTGGAGTAATGGTGATTCAGTGAGTCAATAGTTTATTGAGATACATCTACACAATGGAATATTATGCTGCTGTAAAAAAGAAGGAACATTTACCATTATGCTAAGCAAAATAAGCCAGTCGGAGAAAGATAAATATCACATGATCTCATTCATTTGTGGAAAATAATGAACAATATAAACTGATGAACAAAAATAGACCCAGAGACATAGAAGCAACAAACAGACTGTCCAACCTCAGAGGGAAGGCAGGGGAGGGTTGGGGTAAGAGAGCGACCAAAGAACTTGTATGCATGCATATAAGCATAACCCATGGACACAGACAGTAGGGGGGTGAGGGCATGTGCTGGGGGGTGGGAACGGCCGGGGAGAAGAATGGGGATAAAAGGAGACATATGTAATACTTTAAACAATAAAGAATTAAAAAAAAACATTCAAAATAATTCATACAACAGAGAAAATAAATAAAAAGCATTTTATCATGAAAAAAAAGTTTATTGAGTACCTACTATGGGCTGGGCACAATTTTAAGTGCTAAGAACAGAGTAGTGACAGATATAAATCTTTAACTTTTTGAAGCTGACATTTTAGTTTGTGTGTGGAGAGACCAATAAAGAAATAAGTAAAAAATATATTGTGTGAGATGGTGATACATGCTTTGAAGGAAAACAAAGCAGGAGAGTTAGATGGGAAGAGTGGGGTGGGGAGTGAAGGTTGTAGATTAACTAGGGTGGCTAGGGAAGGTTTCACTGAGTGAGTGACATTCTAGAAAGAGCAGACATGGACTGTTAGGGGAAAAAAGTTACAGGGATAGAGGAAAACAAGTTCAAAGGCCCTAAGGCATGCTGGGTGTTTTGCAGGAAGGACAAGGAAGCCAATGTGACCAAAGAAGAATAAGAGAGTAGATGTGGTCAGAGAATTAATATGAAGTCAAATATCTTAGAAGATGAAAATGACTTTGGCTTCCACTAGGGGATGGATGGTGAGGCGAGTAGGACTTTAAAGCACAGCACAAATCTGACTTACATTAGGACTGGGTGGAGGTGGGCAAAGTGGGGGAGGATGGGGACACCTGTAATAGTGTCAACAATAAAAATGAGCCCTAGCTGGCCTGGCTCAGTGGATAGGGCATTAGACTTTGGACTGGAAGGTCCTGGGTTCGATTCCAGTCAGGGGCACATGCTCAGGTTGTGAGCTCGGATCCCCAGTGGGGGGGCGTGCAGGAGGCAGCTGATCAATGATTCTCCCTCATCATTGATGTTTCTATCTCTCTCTCCCTCTTCCTTCCTCTCTAAAATCAATAAAAATATATTTTAAAAAATGAATTAAAAGTAACGAAGTGTTTGTTGTTTTTTGACCAAGGTGGTAGCAGAAGAGGTGGTGAGAGGCAGTGTGATTCTGGTTTAAAGATGGAGCAGATAGGATTTGTGATGGATTAGAAAGGAGATTTGAGAAAGTAAAGCAAAGAAGATTACTCCAAGTGTTTGGCCTGAGCCAAGACAACAGAAGGGAAAATTTTAGGGGGAAGATTAGTAGTTTAGACAGGAAATGGCTCTTAGACATCAACATGGCATTGTTAAATCATCAGTGGATTTTGAAGTGTGAAGTTCAAGGAAAAGTTTGTGGCTAGAGATATATATTTGGGAGCCATCCGTATGAACTTGAAAGCCATGGTACTGAATTAGATCACAAAGTGAATGAATGTAGACAAAAAGTGAAGAGGACAAAAGACTGACTCCTAAGCCACTCCAACTCTAACGGGTCAGAAAGGCCAGGAGTAGCCAGCAAGGAGACTTGGTAAAAAGTGGCCATGAGGTAGGAGAAAAACAGAAACGTGTTTTCCGGAAGCCAAGATGAGAAAGTGTTTCAAGAGTTGGGGACTGAAGAACTCGGCCAAATGCTACTGGTATAGATGCTGAGAACTGACCCTGGGGTGTAGCAGCATGGGCATCACTGGTGGCTTTGAGCAATTCTGTGTAATAAAGAGGAAAAATGCCCCAAAGGAAATTCAAATGAGAATGGAGGGAAGAGAAATTGAAAGCAATAAGTGTAAGTAATTCTCTAGAGCGTCACTTTAAAGGGAAGGCAAGGAAGGAGGGTGGTTGCTGGAGAGAAGGAGTAAAGAAGTGTGAATGGAGGGCCTGTTTATATGCCTCTTGGAAAGGTCCGGAGGAACTTACTGGCAGAACCAGGCAGAAAAATGAGTGACTGTGAGAAAAAGGAACAAAATATCTGCATGGGCCACTGAACGAATCCACACATAGTTCCTGAATCGATGAGGAAATATATTGTGGGAGAGAGGGAGCCTGGGTCAGGCTTAATGCCTTAAAGGTTTCGGATATGAAAGGCATTCATAAGGAGCCTGCCAAATAGCAAAGTTCTCTCCTAATCTGTGAAGCTAAAATGTGGTCTGATGGCATTTTCTGAGAGGTTCCTTTAGAGGGGCAGTTTATGGAACCTGCAGTTACTGTCATCACCTTCATCATCAAATAGCAATTAAGTGCCTAATTTCTCCTACCTCCTCCTAAATTACAGTAGGAGGGCCTTGTTCCCTGGGGGAACTGGTTGTGGTAACCAGCAGTACTTTCAGGAGGCCAGAAGGTCAGAGATGGGGGGGTGGGGGGAGAGGGAGGGGAAGGAAGGGAAGATGGGCATGGGGTAGATGGAGATGCCAAACCATTCTTGCCACCAGTTCCTGATTTTCACCCGGCCTCTCCAAGAGCCCTAGTGGATAACTCCTTCCCGGTTACTTCTTCCTCCGTAGCTCTTTGAGGCCCCTACTTCTCCTTTTGCCATTTTCTCCCAGTCCGGTGGTGGTTCTGAAGATAGCCCGACCTCTACTTGCCTCTTCACTGCCTGCGGGCGCACGGGAGGCGGATCGAGACCCTTGAAACTCCAGTGGGCCAGGGGCCGGCGTTCTGAGCATGTGCGAGCAAGACTCGGGACTGGGGCGAAGGAGGGAGGCCGGCCCCGAGTCGCTGTCCTAAACGCAGAGCAAGGCTAGGGCGAGCGCAGGGCCGGGCGGCACTCCCCGGAGCGGAGCCCGGGCGCCCGGGGCGCAGCGTCTGCGCCCTGTCCTCCGGGCGTGGGCGGCCGGCCGCGTGTGCCTCGCTGTTTGACGCGAGGGCCAACCAATCAGGGCGGCGGCCCGGGCTGCCATGTGACAGCGAGGCGGCTCCTTTCCCCAGGTCGGCCAGAGGGAGGAGAGAATCGGCGTTCGCCGCGAGCCTTCGAGAGCAGCGGTCGCGGAGGAGGCGGCGGCGGCACCGGCTCGGACCTGCAGCGCGCGCATCCCCGGGCGCCCTGCACCGCTGCGAGCTCCGCGGGCCGCGGGAGCCGGGACAGGAGCGGACAAAGCAAGATGGCAGGGATCTTAGCCTGGTTCTGGAACGAGAGGTTTTGGCTTCCGCACAATGTCACCTGGGCGGACTTGAAGAACACGGAGGAAGCCAACTTCCCGCAGGCTGAGGACCTCTATCTCGCCTTCCCCCTGGCCTTCTGCATCTTCATGGTGCGGCTCCTCTTCGAGAGGTAAGAAGGGCTGGAGCGCCCCTCCCCTCCCCCTAACACACACGCGCGCACACACACACTCGCACACCCTCGCGCGCACACGCACCCCGGCGTGCTCTGTGGCTCCTGCCCCCGCGCCCCCCGCGCTCGTGCCTCCCCACCTTTGTGTTCAAGAAGGGGTTGCTGATCCCTCGGTCCGGCTGCCGTTCAGGGATCCGGAGGGGGTCCCTGGCTTGCCTCCGGGTTCCTCCGGGCGCCGGAGAGGGCCGCGAGCTGTGGGGTCGCTCCCCGCACTCCTCCTTGGCCGATCTCTGGCAGCGAGGACAGGCCAACAAAGGTGAGCGGCGGCCGGCCGTGGGACGCGCCGCACTCCGCGGGGCTTTCCCTCTCCACCCCGCGAGCGCGCCACGCTGCCCCGCAGGGCTTGCCCGCCCAGGCTCGCCGCCACCCACCTGACAGCCGGGAACGTTCCGGACACGCAGCCGGGAGGGCGGAGGAACCGCACAGACTTCCAATGGGTTCACCCCAATCGGCACACGGATTTGCCGGGGACTCCTCGGCTTCTGGCCACTATTTGATTTCCACCGGTGATACTGAGTATCAGGCCCACAGTCCTGGGAAATAGGCGACAATAGTTTGTAGGTTTCCAGCACTCCAGGCCATTAGCTGTTTCTGTACAAGAGGATAGGACAGGATGGGCGCACAACCTGCAATGGGTGACATTAAATTGATAGATGTTTCCTATGAATAACCATACTTTTATTTTGGTAGCAGAACGCACTTAACATTTTTTTTAAAAAAAAGAATGAACATATTATTGCTTATATAAATCTCGGATTCGGTTGGGTAGCCGCACTGTGTCATGAACAAACTTGTGCTACTTTCACTGAATCAGTTTTAGTCACTAAACTGGATTTTGCCTGCCCCGGCTCTCCCGGTCTTATTGAAACGGGACCGGGATAGCAGCACACTTCTTTTTCTCAACTGAAAACCACCCCTTACGCTTCTCCTTTAGCCCCGTCATCAGGAAAGGCTGAATTTCTTAGATCACAGAGTAAAGACCAGTTCTCACTTCCACCCCGCCTCTCTTCCCCTGCGCCCAACTCACCTTGGTGTTGTTTCTTCAGCTTTTGCTCTGTTCTTTTGTTTGCTGTTTCTGTTTGTCTAACACCGCTATTGAGGGTGTTAAATTTGTTACTGGAAATGGCAACAGACAAAGCTTCACGGGAACAATAAGTATATTTTGTTTACGAAAGGGACATTTTTCAAAGGGCAGTATTGTTGCTTAAGAACTAAGTGAGCTGTCCACATGCAGAGATTGAGTGTACAAGGGAACAGATTTAAAGACCTATTTTTAAATGATTGGAATCCAGCACAGATACCTCATTGATCCTGTCTAGCACTGAGACTTGCTATGAAAAAGTGGGTGTGTCTGCAGGTTTAAAGTTGCTTCTAGAGCAAATGTTTACTTACAGAAAATAGGAATTTATATTTAACCTTGCTATCTCTCTCTCAAAAAAAAAAAGCCTCTCAGGAACCACAGATTGCTCTGTATTGACACATAGTAGGGGCTCCACACAGTTGCCAAATTATATCTAATTGATTCTGATTGATAAATCCTGGCTGGGATCACTTTTAGCTAGCGAATGCATTTGAAAGAGATGTGGAGTCTTATGTTTTGGACAACAAAAGCACAAAAGCATGCCAGCCGATGACCTGTTTGCAGAAAGCTGATTCCAGGCTGTTCATTAGGTCGGAGGAAAAGAAAATTAGAGAATGGAGACAGCTTTCTACTTAGACTTTCTCTGCCTTAAAAAAATAAAAGTAATGCAATAATTGAAAACTGGACGTTCATATTTCCTCTTCCTGAACATTTTTCTCTTCCTTTGCACAATCCTGTGACTTAAGAGTTTACACAAAGGGATCAGCTTCTTTCAAGTGTCAGCCCCAGCAAATGTCCTCATATTGATATGGAGAGAGTTGGTCATTGATCAATGGTCATTCAGGCCATTGATTCAAGTATAAGGGATTTCATGGCTTGTATGGAAAGTGAAAGTTTATGATTAATGTTCAGAGTAATACTTCAGTATGGCCCACATACCACAAGATGCTACTGACTTTTGGAAGGGTGTCTATTTTGTTTCTTGTTAAAGCTGTGACAATTCTGCCTTTAACCATTCAGACCACCTCAGTTCTCTAAAAAAATCCGCGTGTATAGTTGTATCCAGAATTACGAGTTCGGCACGTTTCTCCTCTTCTCAAACCTGAGCAACACATTCTGGCATTTACCCTGTGCCCTTCATCTCAGTATCCATCAAGGGCCAGAATCAACATAACTGAACCAGGCGATATTATCACTGGTATGACTCACTTTTAGTGCCCTTCTAATATGTTGTGCATGCATTTTTCCCCTTTGCCATATTCTGTAATGTATAACATGATTTAAAGGAGCCTGTTGTGTATCCCCTTGCGAAATGAAATGCTTTTATAATAGAAATAATTCCCTCGGGTATTCTATTTGTTTTTCTTCTATTGTCATTGATTTCAAAGCTGAGAACATACCTATGAAATACCTGATTATCTAAGATCCTTATTTCCATTAAATGGGGTCTGTGATGTCCTTGTTGCAGCTAAAATTGTGAATTTGAATACCTTCTCCTCAGTTTTGTGTATTTCTCTCTGTGAAGAATTGACTGAATGGGACTTGTGCCCAGCTGAACAGTTCTGTCTTTTCCTATCCACTCTCACTGTTGGGGTGATGACAGGGGAGGCATTGGTGGCCAGAACAATGTCATATTATAGTACCTTATGGGCAATAATATGGATGCCCAACATGGTTGGTTAAAAACGGAGCAGCTTCAGTTCAGTGACTTTCGGCCGAGTCTGTGAATAGCCCAAAGCTTGGTGGTTTTAAGTATAGCCTTTATACTATACTTAGCTCTGGGTAGGGATGGGAAGGGCCACTATAGATATGTCTTGATTGACAGTAAAATATCTGATGTGAAAAGAAAACTGAATGCTTTCTCCTAGAATAAAATAGGCAGTGTATACTATTGTATTATGTTGTTAGCTTGATGACAGGGAGCAAAATCTTATTTAATAATGTGGCATCATCTATTTGATGAATTTTTTTGATTCAGTGCTTGTTTAGGCTTAGTAATCCATTCTCTGGAATTACTGTATACTAAATGCTTCTTACAAATTTTTTTTATATGTGTGTTGCTATGGCATTCATAAATGTGGGATTACACTTCTGCTGAACTTCTGCTGGGGAATAAAAAATTATTTGAGCTATTGTTATGAAAGCTAATGTTGATGCATTTTCTTCCTTGCGGGTTTAGGAGAGAGATGCAGAAAGTATCAATTGAGAATCAGAACATTCAAGTTCTAGTCAAACTTACCTCAAACTAGTGCAGGCACCTGATTTCTCTCTGTCTTATTTTCTCATCTGTGAAGCGAAGCAGCTGGCGTTGGTAAGGCAAGGTTGCTTTTGGCCTCCCAATTATCTGATTTCTGTGGCTTACTAATTGTTTTCTCATCAAACTTTGAAGCAGGCTAAACGTCATTTTTTTTTCCTATAGGTAGATATAAGTCATCTAAGAATACAGAGATTTTTTCATACAAATATTCTAGCCAATGGTTTTGCTTCTTGTATTTTTCAGTTATGATTGAGTTGAAAGAATCATTTGGGCTATTATCATTTGTGTTCCCAAAAGTATTTCAGAATAACTAACAAAGAAGATTCTACAGAAAAAGCAATTGCTCTTTCCTCGTATCTCTTATAGACGGACCCAGCATACACCCAGCACTCCATATGGTGGCTGGAGAAGCAATGAGAAGCCCATTCCTGCCACCTTGGCTCTCAGAGTGGCAAGCTCTGTGAGAACTGTCATTCTTGAGGAGGCCCACCGGTGTTGCTTTGGCTCATTCAAACAGTAAACAGCAGTGTCTTAGCTGTGTCAGAGGGACTGCCTGGCCAGCGGGCTCTTCTTATGGGTATGCTTAATATATTTGCCTCGCCATCAGCCTTGACTGAAGTCCTGGAGGAGAGGAGACAAAGAGAGAGAAGAGTGAGAATGTATTCCTGATGGTTAGAAGGGAGAGGACAGATAGGAGTGAATGCCTGCCAGGAAAAGTGGGGGGTCAGGTGAGTTTCATTACTGAAGTTTCTATAAATACCTTGTAATGAAGAGACTGACAATCATCAGATATCTTTTAAAAGACTATGCAATGGACTGAAAGTTTATTTTTCCTCAAAATCCATCAGTTGCAATCCTAGGGTATTAGGTGAGGGTGTTAGGAGGTGAGGGTATTAGGAGGTGAGGACTTTGAGATGATTAAGTAATGAGGGTGGAACCTTCCTGAATGGGATTAGTGCCCTTGTATTAAAAAAAGAAAAAAGGCCCCAGAAAGCTTCCTCGGCCATTTCACCGAGGTGAGGGTATTAGGAGGTGAGGACTTTGAGATGAGGGTATTAGGAGGTGAGGGTATTAGGAGGTGAGGACTTTGAGATGATTAAGTAATGAGGCTGGAACCTTCCTGAATGGGATTAGTGCCCTTGTATTAAAAAAAGAAAAAAGGCCCCAGAAAGCTTCCTCGGCCATTTCACCACAGAAGGACACAGTGAAAAGATTTTTTGTGAACCAGATACGAGATCTGCTGGTGCCTTAATCTTGGACTTACCCGTCTCCAGAACTGTGAGAAATAAATTGCTGTTATTTATAAGCTATTAAGCCTGTGGTATTTTGTTATAGCAGTTTGAATGGACTAACACAGTATTTGAGAATAATTTGTATATAAATTCAGTTTTTCTCATGCAGTGAGTTCTGGATATTTAACTCTATAAATATACCTTTTCACGTGTTAAATGATGGCATGATTCAGATTAAAGCGTGGATACCTGCTTAGCCAGGCTGGGGAAAGAGGAAAGAGGTGGGGTTAGACACATAGGTTACCTCCTACTATAATTTCTGACATGGAAAACTGAATTACAATGGATGTTTTGTTGGAAAACAAACTAAAATAAAAAGGGTAGTATTTTTTTTTCTAGAACTTTAGCACAGCTTTCTCATCTTGCAAAAGAAAAGGTTTGCCTTTTCAGGGTGCAAAAATTGAGCTGTTTATAATAGGTTGATTTATGGATAAAAGGTATAATGTTACTCTTAATGGGAAGTGTCTTAGAATGGTGGGGAGGGCAGGTGAGATAACTTTAAAAGACCACAAATGATTTAATGTCATCAAGGAGTGATGAAATGAACACCCTGAGTTCACTTGTGACTCTTCTGTTGGAAGTATCTGACTTCCCACTGGACAGGGTTAGATTTTTTACTTCTGGATTCCAGTTTATAAGATATTTCAGAAGTGGTTTCTTTTTTGTGATGGGAAAGGGCAGGTGGCAGTAGAAAGAAAATGGAGTCCCAGGTGAGCTTCCATCATCACAACAGTGCGTAGCTTCGGAAGGGATCACTGCATCTGCCTCAGGCTTTCTTCACCTGTTTTACTACCTGGTAATACTTTGTTGGTGAGCACTACGACCTAGGTTCGTGTTGCTCATGTTATTCCGTGTGCACTAACAGTGCACGACCACTTCTTCTCTCATTACCAGATTTTCTAAAGCCATGGGTCATCTATTTCTTACAAAGCCATAATTCTCAAAATTGTATTGTTTTCCCCCTAACATGAGTTTATTACTTTCTGTGG